CTCTCAGACCTCGAACCATACAATTTGCCTGCGTCCCTTGCTTTGACCTCTGCAGAATAGACTCCAGCAATAACAAAATTTCATTATTATCAAGACACTGGAGTGAAGATCTAAAATACTTTCCCTTCGTTGACTTTTTCTAGGACTGCACACCGTTTCTTATGCCAGCTGAGCCCCAACTGCCGTGCATCTTTACTTGATTTGGTAGCTGCCATATTAAATGCTATATAACCAAGCTTGTCCCAGGACCGTATCAACTATTTTTACATAACCAGACTACCAGAACCCCATCTAGATTTAACACGAAGTCGAGAGAAAGAGAGAAAATCGAGTCATCTTAAAACTTGGTCTAGGTAAGGTGGGGGGGAGGGCATTTTAAAACATCTTATCATTAAGGGGGGATACAATTTTCATGTTAAATTATTTTAGGGGGGTACAGTTTTCATACACCACACGTTTCTGAACCCCCCCTCCCCCGGGACGTAATAAACGATCGGTCCCTTAAGTCGGCTCTCAAAGTATGCAATGCTTTTAAGTCCGCGATGAGAGTGAGTTTGCAATGAGTTCGTGGGTTCTTTGTGGAAAAAGCATCGTAGAAAATTCAGATAAAAATCTACCTCTTCTACTTTCCCCTTCCGCCTTCTTCAAGACCTTTAACGATTGCCAAAAGAAGGCATTGAAACATGTTGCTCTGGACAATCTGCGTGCCACAGAAAATCAAGAAAGGCCAGAATCCGTGAAACAACTGCTGCTTTCTTCGACTCCGTGCTAAGAAAAACGAAATGTTGCATTCACAATAAGCTATTAGCTGCTGAGAATGCAAAGGAAAATGAGGTCAAAGACAAACAGATGGCAGATTTATTTGTTTTTTTCCCTGGGTGCAACAAGACCTTCACATCTAAAGGAAAATGAATGAGGGATCATGAAAGTTCCCACAATCAACGGGTACCAGCTTTGGATCGCTTACGTTGAAGTTAGGCCATGCCATAAATAAGTACATGACCAACAAAAGAGGAAAGGCTTTGAGAGAATACGACCAAGTGCTGCTACAAGACATGGACAATCTCGAAAAGCTTAGGGGATCTGAATGGAGTGATAACATCTCATATCACTCACCAGGAACAGTCTACAAGAAGAACTTAACAAGCCAGATCTTCTCCCAGTTACTGAAGACTTGGAGATGTTGAGAAAACATCCCCTTCACAAGATTGTCACTTGTTCAGGAACCTTAAAAGCTGCACCAACAATTCAGAATTGGGGTCAGTTAGCTGAAATAACCCTTTGCCAGGTTACAAAATTCCATAACCGAGCAGGTGGTGAAGTTTCAAAGATGCTGCAGCTTAGAATGTAGAATGACCAGACTAAAAGAAATCAGCAACAAAAGGAATTGAAGATTGTATATAGCCAACTGAGAAGGAGGTGTGTAAGAGGTATAAAGTAATAACACATTCAGTGATTGCCATTACTGAGGTGTAGGCACACCCGTGCCCCCCGACTCGGACTGAACTGTGTCTTTTTTTTTTTGTTTAAAGAGGGAGTGCGGATCGAGAGCAAGTCAGTAGAACAATGTCAGTGGATGTGCGATATGTTCTCACACCCTCATGAAAAAAGAAGTACCAGCCCTCATCAAATGCGTCACCACTGGCAACCCGGACCAGGTCAGCAAACGGATTGCGAGGATTTTCACGTTCCTCAGCCGGTACGACACCGACACCAAGACCCTCCCGCCCTCGGAAACCGTGGAATTGAGAGCTATTATAAGTTGCGGGATGACGAAAGAAATGTTACCCTTACCTATGATGATCAAGGTCCACCCGGCCCTAAGACTTTTTGATGACGCTGCTAGATGAAGGCAAGATCGTGCTCAATGAGGAGATCTATAAGCACCCAGTGTCCAAAGTACATGGGGGGTGTGAGGAGTGCCAGCGTTTGTTAACGGTGTGCCCCACCAAAAGAGATGTTGGGTTAAGCCAAACAGAAGTCATGCTCGTCATGATGCCCATGGATTAGAGCGAACCCATTGACTGGGGAAGATGGAGAAGGAGGGAACATAACAAATGCGATGCTGTTTTTCATACTGAGATGTTTCTTTTGTATCACCTACGGAACAAAAAACACTGAACTCTACTTTATGTATACCTCTGCCTTTGAAATGTACACCTTCGAGTCTGAAGAATATCTAACTGAGTGCAATGGAGGTAGTCATCATGCCCAAACACTCGCCTGAACCACTGGTACAACCTGGTATCCCTGTTCTTCGCAAACACTGCCCTAATCACCCTCCACCAAAAGTAACCTGTCACGGGCTCCAACTGGTTTCCAAACCTGGGGATCCAAAACCCCTTGACGTTGATAATCTGCTTTCGTTTGGGGCACCGGGATAATTGTTGCATCTCTGCATTGACCGTCCACCACCCATCCAAAGCATGATCTTCCACCGTGGCTAAGCAATATTCACGTGCAATCATCAGTGACACGTCATCCGGTAATAGGGGAAGTCTGCCATCTTGAAAGACCAACTGCGGACAAAGTGAGTCCTGCACCACTCCAACCTCTTATACCCCGGGTCATGTGCCTTCCCATTCACCCCGTTCGTTCCCTGGAAAAGAGGGGGATTAGGGGGGTATCCCCCCTCCTTTGAGACCCTTCCAAGAGGGGCTTTGCACCCCCTCGTCCACCCTCCACATAAGTCCCCCTCCCACTGACGCTGCACCTCAACTCTGACCATGATGCTAGTCGGTCCCGTTACTGTCTTCACCCTTGTGTCCATCTGGATCACTATCCTGTTGCACACTGAAGTCCCTCGCCAACACTATAACACCCAAGGACTTCAGCCGAGACTTCATCCAAGAGTGGTCAGACGATCAGTGGGACCTGAGAGACAACCTCAGCATGGACTTAGACTAGTCGTTTAAATGTCGCCTCAATCACTTGATCAAACGAGTGAAGCGCCAGTTGGTCGATCCACACAAGGCTGAACGAAAGCAACGGGAGTACGAGTTTGCGTACACCACCTGTGTGCAGAACCTGGAAACGTCCCTGGAAAACCTGGACGGGCTATGAGACACTGCTCGGTACTTATTCGAACAGTCCCCCGCTGATCATCCCAGTACTCATGCTCATTATCAAGACATCCTCTACGCCCTCCGGCAACAGGAAGAGGGACTCCACCGGATCCAAGACATTTTTCGCACCAGCTTCTGAACTCCAACCCTTTGGCACCGCCACCCACCACGAGTGCCCGCTTGTACCGCCACTTGGTGTTAGCCCGATCAGATTGAACCTTATAGGGACGCCCCAAACCACTAGGGTCGGGTACATGTTACGGCCTTTAACACTAGGGTTTCAGAATGGTCAGAATAAACCCAGTTGGAACATGGAAAAAAAAATGTGTTTATTTTTTTAATTCCCCAAGAAATACTCGCGTGACCTCCAGGGAGACTTCCCAGTAAACCTGGACTTTCCCCCACCCTGGTCTGGGGCTTAAGGTTAACGGGGAGAGCCGTCCACGCGAAAAAATCGATGATTCTGTAGTGCGCATGCGCCCTCATGAATTATGCTTACCACAAGGATGAGCGTTCATGTTCGTCTTCATATATAAGGGCCTTAGGGTTGGAGTCAGGGTTAGAGGGTTAGGGTTACTGGGCCCCACCCCAAGGTTTATCCATGATGTCACCTTTTGGATCACGTCATCACCCCCAATGTCATCATGCCTACCATGAAGTCATTCTCCCTATGACGTCACAATTTCCGGGGGGTGAGGGTTTCCCGGGAGGCTAATATTTGATTTACCGGTCATGTGACCCCTTGCTGCATACTGATTGGTCCATTTGTACCACGTGACCAATATCTGGCTCTCTGATTGGTCAGTGCCCAAGTGACCCCCCTTACTACTTACATTCCAACCATAATTTCAAAATGTTGTCTATTCCAGTCTCAACATTTTTATCAAAAAGATTTGTACACTGTAAAAAAAGGGTGAACTAACATTAATTTTCTTTTGATCTTTTTTCTTTCTTACTTCTTTTGTTTTTTTATTTCCATACGCATTATTCCCTTTGATGGAAAGGGAAAAACATGACTGTTTCATGGTGAAGTGGGTGCGCTGGCTGGAATGGATTCAGAATTTGGTTCCATCTCAGCAAGTGGAAGAGGAAGACTAAGTTATTTGCTATTCCTGTTCTGTTCAAAGCCTGATTTTGTTATTTTACTGCCATGTCAGAACCTTTGCCTTTCTGTTTATACAGCCTGCTGTCACGCTTTTTTGCGCACTACCAACCATGGCCCACATTCTTCAACTGCTCTTTGCTGCCACTGCGACCAACTTTATGTTTGTCACCATCTGCATACATGAATCTGCCAACTATCAGTTCAAACCCCTTTTCACCCATTGGATGCAGCCGCAAGAGACCACGCCCATTAAAAATGGTATCTCATGCTGAAGTGGGTGACCTTGCTGGAATGGATTCAGAATTTGGTTTCTTTCAGCAAGTGGAAGAGGCAGAAAAGGAAGACAAAGGATTCAATTCTATATAGGTTGGTTTTCGTCTTCTCCCTTCTCTCTTCCTTCTACACGGTCAGCGCATATAACACGAGGTGTGAAATTAGGTAAGTGTGTAACCAATCAAGGCATTTATCCTATATTTATGATGCATAACATCTCTCCTTCTTTCACATCTTCCTCTATCATTTATGGATTTATTTATTTATACTATAGCACTCATTCTTTCACTATTCCACTTTTTGCTTCCTGTCTTTCGCTTGTATGCTTTTCTTTAAGGAAAGTCCACCTACCACTTCAAGTAACTGCGTTCCCTACCCTCTTTAACACAAATCACATTTCATTCTGAGTTTGGTTAAAAGAAAAAATAAGTGAAATGATCACGATTCTCCAGGTTTTTTGCTTGTTCTTCGCTATTTCTTTTCTGGTCAACGTCCGATTATGTTGTACTGCTACATCAAAGCCTTTGCCTTCTTGTTAACACCACCTCCCATCACGTTTACTGCTCTTTACTGCCATTGTCACCAACATTATGTTTGTGGCAATCTGCATACACAAATCTGTCAACTATCAGTTCAAGCCTTTTCTCATCCATTGCACCAAGTACATTAAAACCCCAGACATTTCCCAACATAACTCGCAATACAAGTTCATTTAGTTCATCATCAGAGGCTAATACTGTCAACCACAGTCCATTAAAAAGCTTGCCATTTTATTTTACTTCATTTTTCAGCAACTTGCGAAGTGTTCGTATGAAAATCTCAGCCTGTTACATTCCTAACATATTTTTAAAATGTCTATTCCAGTCTCCTTCTACACAGTCAGTGCATAGAACACATAAGGTGCAAAATTAGGCAAGTGTGTAAGGAATCAGGGCATGTATCCTATATTTATGATGCATTTCCTCTCTTCATTCTTTCACTATCATTTATGGATTTGTTTATATATTAAATAAGCTGCACTTATTCAAGTGCTTCCTTAAGCTTGTACTATTCCCCTTTTTTTTCTTTCTTTTCTTTGTATGCTTTTCCTTTTAGGAATATTCAGCTGCCACTTTAAATCACTGTGTTCCCGGACCCTCCTTATCACAAATCAATTTCATTCTGAGTTACTGAAATGAGTTTGGTTTCCATTGGGTGACCCTTTCTACTCGACTGCGAAAGACTCTTTTCGATCGACCGATATTCTTAGAATAGACAAGTATATGCATGCGATCGGAGAGGATTGATTGCAAGCTTGAATAAATTGAATTGCTGAGCGCTAGCTAGAACCTTGCATTTCCAAAACGCAAAAGGATAATAAATGAAATATCAAAAAAGAAACAAATCAAGAATCAGAGAAAACGAAAACAACACTCTTTTGGATAATGATTTAGGTAAACAAAAAGAAAAAAAGACCAAGAAGAAAGGTAAAATTCCAGGCGCACATTTTCACTTGAAAAAGACTGTGGATGTAAAGGATATTTGAATCAGGAAAACAAGGATGCAGTGATGAAAAACTTTCACTTTCTTAAAACAGACGAAATGCCACACTGGATTAGAGTGAAAGAGACCTTTTAACTGAGCTTACCACCTTTCATAAAGCAAAGGATTACGTTAAGGAACTAAGATTGGAAGTTGGCTGAAGTCGATTAAATGAATGGTTGAAGTGGAGTATAACAAAGTATAATATGGCAAAAAGGTAAAGTATAATAAAAAGGCAAAGGCAACAGGGGAAGAAGTGAGGAAACAGGCAATGAAAAGAAGAAGGTAAGAAGAAACACAAGTGACGCATTGACTACCTAGAGGAAAAATCAGGAAAGGATCATGACATAACATGATTTAAAGATTATGATTTTTGCATATGACAAATAATCACCCTCGAAAAATAATATATACATAAAAAAATTCAACCTTGAAAAACTAAGACAAGCCGTCTCAATTTTTGACGCTAAACTATGGAATGAAATACCAAGTAAAATAAGAGAGATGTCAAAAAAGTGTTTAACCGAAAATTAATTAGTGTCCTCTTTGAAATATTAAAAGACAAAGATGATTACCTTGATGCAACCATGATAACACAAGAAATAAAATCGCGACATCCTAAACCTTAGCCTCTTTCACAGGTTGAATTAAACAGATTTGTCTTTCTTGCTTTCGACTTTGTTACACATATTCTTCTTTTCTTTTCCTTAGCTTTTTACTTCTTATCTGTCATATCTGATTTGTAATAGAATTAATTAGCACGCCTCGACTTTGTGCCAAGAAATTGTACAGGCAATATTATGAAAAGAAATGTCTTGTCTTGTCTTATTAAAAAGAATAGGAACTTAAACTGAGGAAAAGGGAATTGGAACTTGAACAGATAAACAAACTCAAGCTGCCCAGCGAAAGGAAGTATGATGCGTGCTTTCATGAGTAACATGCAGGTGCAACAACGGCAGAACAAAATCGTGATGGCTTTAATGGAGAATAACAAAAAGGAATAATGTTATTGTATTCCAGTGGAACACTTGTTAATGCTACCATCAAAAGATGTTGGGTTTTTATAGTCTGTGAATATGGTGTTTGAATTGTTAAGCCTGGCAGGCACAAAAAGGGAAAAGGTGTAGAGGAAAAATAAGAAAGATAAAAGGGAGAGGCAGATTTGATACAGCAATCCATTTTTTGCATTGTGCCCAACAATTGTGACCCTCCATATGATTTCAGGAACAAAGGTAATAACATGCTAACACAACATTCTTGGCGTGCCCAAAGACACAGTTTAGGAGCATAATTAATTTGTAAAACAATCAAGAACACGCAATGTATTGTTTCGGTGTAGTTAACATGCTAACCCTTTGGTTTAGTGGAGTGTTATCGATGACACACTGACGCGCTTTCGAGCAAAAGACAGACTGCTCGCAGTCTACATTTGTTTACAGTAACTATGGCAACACAATGAAAATAAAGCATTTCCTGGCTGCCACACCAAAGTCAGTGTATCATCAGCATGCTGGAGTTTTCTCGAAAAGTAGTTTCTTGTATGCATCTTAACTCGAATGATGTGTATAGTATCCGTTAAGTTACCAAGTTGTACTTCGAGTCTTTGAGAGAAGAGATTGTGATGATAATGAAAAGGCTAGCTTTACACCAGATGACCATAGCAGCTCCAAAAGTGACACGGAACCCGATGAAGATGAAGAGTTTAACATTGATAGCTCTGAAACAGACCTGTCGGAAAAGGCAAAAGTCAATACGTTCTATTCAAACACGCCAGTGCAAATGTGGGGAGGATGAGCAAGCATGTAATTGAGGTATCACAATTAGTGACGTCTTAAAAAATTTGAACAACTGCCTTGAACTATCCTCCACGCAACTTGATTTTGTCACTTTGGGAGCGATTCAAAGATCCGTAAATTGCAGTGATGTGAGCGCCTCGGGCAGAACAGAAGAACTGCAAACTTCTGCGAATGTCCTTTTTCTTCCACGGTAAGAAAATTTGCAGGAAGACATTTTTGTTTTTACATTTCATCAGAAAGAGTGAGTTTTGCAGCCTTGTAAAACATTACTGGGACGATGGTGTGTCGCTCCGCATACATGACAACAATGAGGGATCTCACAGCGACAGAGGCCTCCAACTGTTCTTTCAGAAACTGTTGAAAAAGTTCGGAAATATGTAATGAACATTGCTAAAGAGCAAGCTCCTCTTCTTCCCGGGCGTGTTCCTGGCTTTAAGAGGACTGATGTACGTTTGCTACCCTGCATTTTCAGGTGAGGTTTTATTTTCAGTTTAGTTTGCCTGTTAATTGTATCATTGAACAAAAAAAAAACTAACTTGAGAAAGAAATGCATGACATTGGCATCAACTTTCACTTTTTGGAAGTTCAAGGTAATGATGGCAAGTCATCAATCAAGTGGTGCTCTCTTGATGGTACGTTTACCATTGAGAGTTTGAAACAAATGACACTTTAACAAGAACCTACAAGAGTGTTTCAAGCTTGATAATTATCTCACAAACCATTTTCTTTTTGGTATTATTTTTGCGGTTTCATTTATTGTTTTCCTACAGCACACATTTCTTTCTGTTTTGTGGTTAACCATGTTTCATCTACCTCTGTGATTTCCCCGCTATTACACCCTTAAACAGGAAAGAAATTAATTGATTTTCGCTCGCTTTAATTTGTGCCATTGCTGTAGTTAACCGCGAAACACTCCATTTGTTTCCTCCTATTGTGATAACAGAACAACTATGTATTCTGCGGTAAAGCGATAATAGTGTTTTACAAACATGGGTATTGCCAACAGGAAACTTTCACTATTTTGTATTGCTGAAAGCAGGATGCGAGCTGTTCATGTTTAGCACGATATATAAACACCTGCACATAGCGTTTCTACGCATTAGTACAGTTCCAGAAGCCATGTTCACTAGTTATTTCCGTAGGACATAGCTTTGTAGAGTTCTCTCTTTGCTGGAGCGGATTATCGTAAGACGTTCCTTCGTTTTCCTTTGTTTTTCTTTCAGGTTATTCCGTTTATGAAATGTCCAGCAACAGCTTCACATTACTTTCCTGTTGTACTGATGGATTTACCACTTTTGCTCTGAAATCATCTTGTATAGTTTCTTAGCTGTTGTTATTCCCGTAGCTTATTGTATTACTTAGTTTTCCCATGTTTTTGTGCGAGATCATAGATCACACACAACCTTTCAGTTTGACCTTGTTTAGCTTTTGTTGTGTTTTCGTTTCTTGTCATACGACTCAACACAAGTCACGTGCTAATTGTCACGCTTGTTATACTTTCCTGACTTAGCATAGTTCTGTTCTCCTAGTTGTATTGTTAAGACGTCTTGCCCTTTTCTTTCCCTTTTCTTGTCCTTATTACTTTCATAAATTGGCCATTAAATATTTGTTTAATTGTATGCGTTTTGTCTCTCTTTAGTTCGCCATTCGTTACCTCCCCTACTTGCGCAACTCAGTCACATTTTGGCACCAGGAGTGGAGTAGCGAATATTATTCGGTTTCCAAAATATAAGAATCAACAAAGCACTAGGACCAGTAAAGGGGAAGAGGCCACGTCCCAAATGGAAGGTGAGTTGGAGGAACTCAAAAACAAGCTGCAGACATTACCAATGAACACATTAAGGATGCTTAATGAAAAACATAAAGATAAAGAACTGTCGGTAAAAGATTTCACTGATAATGCAAAAGGCGCAATAACCTCAAGGGGACTCCCCCTCTCAGATCAGGCAAATTTCATACTCTCCTACCAAGAAGTACACGCAAATGAAGAAATGAAACTTTACCCTAAAAGTGACCTTAAAAATGGGGATAGGATCTTCGACCTCCTTTAAGACTCTCAGCGAGAAGTACTTCGTTCCCCAGCTATTACAAGCTTTTTATGACCACTGACAGAGGGAGGGCGAAAAACCCTTCATGCATTCTCTCATGTGCTGAGAAAACTGCAAGCTAACATAGAAAAGTATGACCAACTAAAGCGACCAAGATAAAGCTCTCCGAATTCACTTTGCTGAAAATGTTAGATCCTCTCCTGTGAAAGGAATTCTAAAAATTCAAGAGAATACATCAAGAAGTTTCCCTCCTGGACACCAGGGAGAAGGCTATTTGCTGCGCAGAAGACGACGAGAAGTCCTGTCGACTGCACTCCAGAGTGGCTTCATTGCATAAGACCAGTACTTCCACTAAGCCTTCTTCCCTATAATCAGCCATGAGATGATTAAAACCCTGCAAGGTCAGCAAAAGGTTATTGAAAATCAAGCAGTGAACATCAAGAAGTTGACTACAGCACCCACTGACAGAAGACAGAATGTACAGCCTCAGCCACAGTTTCAGCAGTGAGCCCAGAACCAACACAGGTGGTGACAGGTGTTATCAGTGTGGAGCATCAGGACACTTTACCTGAAACTGCACTGCAAGAAGTAGACCCTGCCCTTCACCTAACCTGTCAAACTAGCCCCCTGCCGCTGAGAGTCAGGCAGCAGGAGGGAACAGTCCTGGCTCTCCTCGTACCATGCAGTTACCTGGAATTGTCTATGAGAGAGCAATTGGTAGTTGTCAACTGAAGCTGGGCGGAGTACACGTATGCTGTCTTCTTGACTCTGGATCACAAGTCTCGACCATTACTGAGAGTTTCTTCAATAAGCACTCCTAGAAGACTTTGCTTGGTCCAATACACTTCAAACTGCAGGAAAAGCTGACTTGAGAGGATTTTTAAGATCGATGTTAGGATCCCAGCTGCAATGATCACAACTGTAGCCACTGCACTGGTTACTGAGGATCACAACCCGGTGAAGACTCAATTGTCCTTACCGAGCCGCTAAGAAATTTGTCATGTCATGGACTGGTAATCATGAACACCCACTCATCCCTCAGTCGCGGACGTGTTAATGTACACAGAGAGAGACAAAATGGAAAAAGCTAACAAAATGAGAAGACAGGGACTTAAAAATTGTTTCTTTTTCTTAGGATGACGATAGCACAGCCATGGATTCTGCAGGGCTGCCAACGCGCTTCTCAAGCTGGATTAATTTGTGACAAACTCGGCGGTAGAGAATATCAAACGACTGTATGCTGAACTTGACGAGTACAACCAAGGAAAGGGGAGATTTCAACTGTCAAGGAATAGGTCCTTGCGAGTTGGTGTGGAACCAATGTCCAGGTACATTAGTGCTTGTTCAAAAACTAGACCTTCCTCTGTCCCACATAGGGCATATAGTAAATGGCAGATGTATAATTTAAAATGTCGTTGTAGTAGTAATTGATGAAAATTACCCAGTGTTTATGGCAATCACAACGAGTTTTGCACATCAGTATAAATTATATGGTAAGGGTACTTAAAATGCTACAACGAATGTAACATTAGTTCTCGTTTCTGAGTGCTGGACCTCCCATGTTCTCTTGCCTTCCAAGAGTAGGATACTGGAAGCAATTTGTGACTGTCTGTGCGATGTGCGCTCTGAGAAGAGAGCAAACGGTCTGCAAGACCCATGTCGATCGAAGTAGAAGGTGGTCATTTCCAAATACAACTATCTGAGACATGCCATTGCCAACAGCCGTCGATAGAAAGGAACATCGCTACAGCTATACTGCATAAACAAAACAACTTTGTTGAGATGGTAAATACTACCATCACACACTCTAACCTTACAGGACCTGACTCTCTTCACTATATACAGGAAGTTCTTGATAAAGTTTATCCGAATCCGGCTGTTTTTCTTGAAAACATGATAATGGTTACGCTATCAGTGCACGTACGACGACTGCTATTTAATTGCTTAAAACAATTGTAAAATTACAAATGAAAACCATCATTCATCATTCTTTAGAGATGAAAGTCCATGAAAACCACACTTAACATGAACACTATTCCTACCTCAGCAGCTTAAAAATCTATACCTAAAACAATGGCTTGGCGGCAGAGAAGCGCAAATTTGAGGGGAAAAGAAGGGCTGCTGCCAGGGCGGAGAGGCTACCCACCCCCAAGAAGGTGCAGATGGTTTATGCCTACCAGAAATCTGGCCCGCCACAAATGAAGGAGACTGGCCACTCGCATTACTTTGGCCAGATGTACTGTACAAATGAACCTGGCCAAATACCAAGAGACTAATGGCTGAAGATGAAGGTCGAGGAGTGGAGGGCCAAGAAAGCTGCCACACAGGAGAAGTTCATAGAATCCTGCCTCATTTTTCCTTATTATTGGTAGTGCGAAGAGGCTACATATTTGGGGAAAGGGTGAAAAAACTGAGGAGATGGCGAGCTTTTCCCGCTCCGAATTTTCCCCTCGACCTAAACCCTGTTCAGAGACTAAATTACAGAAAATGTCAACAAATTTGCTTGTATTAAAGAAAGCAGTATGAATCGTTGACTTTTTTAATCTGTATACCGTATTTATTCGAATAACCGCCCTGGGCGCTTATTAAATTTTTGGAACTTGAGAGTGGGCGCTTATTCGAGGCTGGGCGCTTATTAAATTTTCACCATTTTCAGCAAGTGAAGTATGTTTATTTTGCAACAAAACAATAAATGCTAATAACAAAACGCGAAGAAGTAGCAAAGCAAGGTTTCTGTAAAATACTCTGAAGAAACCTCCGTCCTCGGGGAAGTCTCTTATTAGAATTTATTCACTCAAGTGGGTGGGGTGGAGGAGAGCGCTTATTTGACTTTGATTGGGAAGAGGAGGGGGTGGGCGCTTATTCGAGGCTGGGCGCTTATTAACTTTTTCTGCCTTTAGGATGGGCGCTTATTCGAGGTGGGCGCTAATTCGAGGTTGGGCGCTTATTCGAATAAATACGGTATGTTGTTACCGCTGTAGAGAATGACGACTTTTAAGCCTCCTTTAAACGGTGGTTATTGGACGTTTTTTCGGTCTATTACAGCGCACTTTAAGGAACTTTATTGAAAATTTTTTTTTACACCTGTTGGGGGAATCCCCTTTATCGACAACTTTATGCCCCACTTTTTGTGCGGGCAGTATGCTTTCTTTCTCCAAACCGAAGTCCATCAAACTTTGCCGTGTTAACATTTTTATTTTTAAAAAACTACAAATTCAAAGATTGTGTAGTTCCTTCGTTGAAAAATAACCGCAGGTATTTCATTCATTGCTGTTTGCATTACATTCAGTGGAGGAACACGTTAAGAAAAGTACATAAACTTGCTGGGACTTGGGCACAAACTGTTGACATATTTAGATGTGCAATGCTGCTCAAGAGAACTATTAGCACATTTGCAACTAAAGAGAAAAAGTGCTTCACATTGAACCCTATCAAGATCACTAATTTTCGTCTTCTCTGGTAACAAAGAAGGGATGTGAATGTCCCACTGCTTTGAAATATTATGATGAGTATACCCAAGCAAACCACTTCGACCTCCTTCTTCCTCAAGGAAATTGTTGTAATGCTTCTCCACCTGAAAGTAGACTATCCACAGTGAAAATAGATTTGTTAATGTTGAGCAATGTTTCGGCTGTGAAACGAAATTCAAAAACAAGTCTTCCCACGAAAGTATCATCATCAACAACAACTAACACTGTCAAGCAGTTCCCCCAAACTCAGCTCCCTAAACAAACCAAAGGAACACCATTAGGTAAAGATAGTGCCACCAAAAATTTTAGCTTTTGGTAATATTTTTCTGTTAAAAAGCCACCACAAGCCACTTATTTCAAACAAACATCTCCACCATCTGCTAAAGCCAATGGTGGACAGCCAACCCCAAGTTTTGACCAAAACAAAGCAAACATCTGCAACTGTCGAAGTCACACAGCCATCACAACCCCTGGACAACTATTTTAAACAATCATTCTCACCACCTACAACCTTTCTACTCCTAAAACTATTTCTGCAATAGAATCATCACAAGTCCCTGCCCCAAATGCAAAAGACCCAACTCCAGCTGGACCTTCTCAAAATTGTGCTATCGATGAAGGTTAGATTAGACGCCTTACTTTACAAGCAGGACTTACAATTCCAGATCCTTTGCAAACGTCATCTAAGACTTCTCACAGCTGCCTTCATGTGGCCTAATGGACATTTTCAATCACTTGATAATGAGTAAAACCGATTACGACAAAGCCATGCTGCCCTCTTGGCATTCATTTGAAGAATATAACCTTTGTGTAAAAGGCCATGTTCAACAAAGACTTCTAAGATCTTGTTCGCAGTACTTATTTTGTGTTTATGGCAGGCATTATACCAACACAAAGAAAAACACCAGGGTGAAGAGTACTACATACTCTGGTTTGTGTTTGATTCAAATGCTTCTGTGTACTCTGCATTCTGCAGATCTCAGGGTGGAACTGATCAAGGATGCAGATACATTGTTTAAGCTTGATAATTTCATTCCCAATCAAAGAAAAAGAAAGTCTGTCACCCCTGTCTGCATACTGGAACCCAAAACCCACACCCAAACAAACACACTAAGAAACATGCGTTGCAAACTCGCACAGTGGAAAGTATAACCAGTTTTTACTTGACAGCGGACTCATTAAGAGAAAGAACTGGTCATAACGGTGGCTACAAATGAGGCACCCTTGACAACCTCAGAATTTCACTGAGATAAAAGGGAGTGGAGGATGGTTTTGTGTATAAAGCTACGGACTGCAAACTTTACCTTCAACTGAGGAAATCAATGTCCCCGTACAAGAATTGCTATACAGTAAAAATAACTATTTGCACACATTTTCACGGCCCCCAAAAATCGAAATTATCTCACCTTGATATCTGCTCCTTCCTTTCGACAATTTATAGGCATTATTAAGGTCCTGTTTTCTCTGGAATTTTTTCTATAGTTTCTAAACTATCTTTGTAATTCACATTCGTGCAAGAAAATTCTTTCCAGAGGCACTGTGTGGTTGGTTTTCTGTCACGGTTTGTAGAAACATTGGCCAATATGGCGGTCAGAAGGCATCAAACGCCTAAAACTTAAGGAATCCACATACAATCTATGGATTGAAAGCAAGGAGACCCTCGGGCTATATGGAATCACCAATAACGATTTTGCAGATACTTCTGCACCAAGAACTTACACGGGAGCGTGATCGATCTCCTCATGTGCATCAAGGTAAAATATCAAATAATTTTTTAACAAAACTTTCTTTTTATTATGCCATCATAGGAGTTTGAGTATTTCGCTTTACTTTCTTTTTTTCATACATTGCGCGTCCTTTCTTATTTTGCTTGGCAGAAAGGAGAAGAAACTGTGTGTATGTTGCCTTGGGCCTGCGTTAATTTACAGGAGTGTACTTACATTAATTTTAACTTCTTTTTTCCCCTTTTTAGCACAATACACCTTGTCATGGTCTTTTACTTGTTCCTTTTATTGGTTTTTAACTTCGATATTAGCCAAAATATACTACGCGTACTACGATAGGCATAGAGAAGAGAGGGAAATACAGGAGTTGTTGGGGCAGCTGGATGCAGCCATTCATGCGAGGGACCATGCCCTTCGAAAATGGCCTCTCATGGTGAAACAGGTGCGCTAGCTGGAATGGATTCAGAATTTGGGCCAATCCCTTCCTCCTTTCTTTCTACACAGCCAGTGCATATGACATATGAAGTGCAAGATTATGCCCGAAAGGAAGCAAGACATATGCCCTATATTAAAATCAATTACCTCTGTTCCTACTTTAACCCCTTTTTCCATCATTTATGGATTTGCTTATTTATTTATGCAGTTACACCTTTTTCTTCCTGTCTTTTCTTTGCATTCTTTTCCTTTTAAGAACGTCGAGTTGCCACTTCTCATCACTGTATTGCCTGACCCTTTTAATAACAAATCAAACATTGTTCAGAGTTCCTGAAATCAGTTTGAAATCAAAAGATAAAAAAGGAACAAAGCAAGAACTGGAAAAAAGGAAAAACACCCTTTTGGATAATGATTTGGGTAAACAAAAAGAAATACAGAAGGCTAACTTTTACATTCTTAATACACAAGAAATACTACATTGAATTAGAGTGAGAGAGCTTCTAACTGGGTTTACCATCTACAATGGGTTTACCATGGCCTGCATTCTTCAACTGCTCTTTACTGCCATTGCCACTAACTTTAAGTCTGTCACCATCCGCATACGTTTTCTGTCAACTATCAGTTCAAGCCTTTTTTCATCCATTACACCAAGTAAAAGCCTGGACATTCCTCAACATTACCCACGCTACAAGTTTATTGAGTTCACCATCACAAGCCAGGACATCTTCATATTTTTCATTTACAGCAAGTTTTGGTTTTGTTATTTTCAATACTATTTTAAAAAGGCAGTATAAAAGCTTCCAAAGTTATTTTAATTTATTTTTCACCAAACTGCAAAGTGTTCACGATTCTCCAGAATTTTTTCTTCTTATAACTAACTCTCAGCCTAAGTTACATTCTGGACATATTTTAAGATGTCGTCAATTCCAGGCACAAAATGTTTATTAGGAAGATTCTTATAGAGTAAAACGGATGTACTAACGTTAATCTTATCTTCTTTCTATCCTTTTAAGTACAATGGAGCTTGTTTTGATCTTTCTCCTTGTTGCTTTTTTTTTTTGTTCTTGTTTTTCATTTCCATTTCCGTTTATTGCTACTATGCCTTCTATGATAAGCATAGGGAAAGGGAAATACAGGAGTTGAAGTAGCAGCTGGATGCAGCCACCCACGCAAGGGACCATCTACATCCAAAATGGTCACTTGTGGTGAAGTGGGTGCAATTGCTGGAATGGATTCAGAATTTGGTTGAGGGGCCTGGAATGAGCAAGGTTTGCAATGCACCTCTTGTCTTTTTCTAATCTATTGCACTGCTAACCTGCAGCAGGCTGACGAATTTTTCACTCTTCGCATTCTTTCCGGTCAAAGCCCCGAGGAATGCCGAGATCAAAATTTTATTTGCTGTGGCCAGGACCCTTCTGTTGACACCCATTATGCCTACAGGCCCAACTGGACCGACCTGACGCAACTGCCCTTTCTGACGCACTATATATACTTGTACCATCAGAAATTCCGCCCTCAGCTGCTCATGGGGAATGCGCAAGACTTTTTATTTCTGGCTAAGACGGGACTCCATTTTCTGCATCGTCTTATTCCAACACATCAGCGCTCTTCGAGAAACACTTTTCAGTAAAATTGACCACCAATGACTTTAGGAAATGCGTTGTCGATTATTTTCTATCGCTGCCAGTGAGTGGCAACCACGTCCTTCGCTACGTCCTTTTTCACAGCGAGAGGTGAAGTGCAAGATTAGGTACGCGCTTAAGGAAGTAGGACATGTGTCGTATATTTATGATACATTACATCTCCTTCTTTCACATCTCTCTGTATCAGTAATAAACTTATTTATTCATGCTGCTGCACTCATTCAGGTGCTTCCTTAACTAATCCGCTTTTTCTTCCTCTCTTCCTTTATCTGCTTTTCCTATCATAAAAACGCAGCTGCCACATCAAGGCACTCTGTTCCTTGACCCTCTTTACAACAACTCACATTTCATTGAGTTTGGTTGAAAAAAAAAAAATAACTGATGACGATTCTCCAGCATTTTTCCTTTTTCTTCGCTATTCCTGTTCAGTTCAAAGCCGGTTATTGTTGCACTGCCATTTCAGAGCCTTTACCTTTCCGTTTATAGCACCTGCCATCACGTTTTCATTGTGCACCATCAATCATGGCCTGCATTCCTCAACTGCTCTTTCCTGCCATTGCCACCAACTTTATGTTTGTCACCATCTGCAACAGTTTTTTGTCAACTCTCAGTTCAAGCCTTTCTTCATCCATTGCACCAAGCAAAAGCCTCGAAATTCCCCACACTACAACTTCATTGAGTTCATCATCACAAGACCGGACATCTTTACATTCTTCACTTACAGCAAGTTTTGGTTTTGTTATTTTCAATACTGTCAAACAAACGTCGTTTAAAAGCTTGCACATTTATTTTACTTTATTTTCCACCAAACTGCAAAGTGTTCATAACTAAATCTCAGATTAAGTTACATTCGTAACATATTTTTGAAATGTCTTCAATTCCAGTTTTAAAGTTTTAAGTAAGATTCTTGTAGAGTAAAAACGGGTGTACTAACAGTAGGTCGATGGAGCAATTAACCACCCTGCGAAGGCAACTGGTAAGTGAGCATAGGAAGCAACGCCTATTTCAATAGGCCACCAGGCCATTGGTCAACAGAAAGGTAGTTCATCCAGAGATCTTGGAGCTCTGCCGAGAGCTCAAATGGCAACTCGAAGAGTTGAGAGGCCTGGAATGAGCAAGGTGTGCAATGCACCTAACGTCTGGCAGGCTGAGGAATTTTTCACTCTTCACATTCTCTCTGGTCAAACTGCCGAGGAATGCCGAGATCAAAATTTTATTTGCTGTGGCCAGGACCCTTCTGTTGACACCCATTATGCCTATGGGCCTAACTGTACCGACCTGACCCAACTACCCTTTCTGATGCACTATATATATTTGTACCATCAGAAATTCCGCCCTCACCTGCTCATGGGGAATGCGCACGACTTTTTTTCTCTGCCTAACAGCAGGACTCCATTTTCTGCATTGTCTTATTCCAACATATCAGCGCTCTTCGAGAAACACTTTTCGGTAAAATTAACCACAAATGACCTTAGGAAATGTGTTGTCGATTATTTCCTATCGCTGCCAGCGAGTGGCGACTACGCCCTTCGCTACTTCTTTCTTTCCTTCTTCACCGCGACAGATGAGGTAGGAGATTAGATATGCTTGTAACGAAGCAGGACATGTCTCGTATATTTCTGATACATTACATCTCTTTCTTCTTTCACATCTTTCTTTCACACTCATTCACGTGCTTCCTTATTCCTTAACTATTCCATTTTTCTTCCTCTCCTTCATTTACCTGCTTTTCCTTTTATAAAAATGCAGCTGCCACATCAAGTCATTGTGTTCCTTGACTCTCTTCACAACAAATCACATTTCATTGAGTATGGTTGAAAGAAAAATAAATGATGACGATTCTCCAGCATTTTTGCTTGTTCTTCGCTATTCCCGTTCAGGTCAAAGCCTGATATTATTGTACTGCCATTTCAGAGCCTTTACTTTTCTGTTTATAGCACCTGCCATCACGTTTTTATTGTGCACCATCAACCATGGCGTGCATTCCTCAACTGCTTTTTATTGCCATTGCCACCAACTTTATGTTTGCCACCATCTGCATAAGTTTTCTGTCAACTATCAGTTCAAGCGTTTCTTCGTCCATTGGACCAAGCAAAAGCCTCGACATTCCCCACACTACAAGTTCATTGAGTTCATCACAAGACAGGACATCTTCACATTCTTCACTTACAGCAAATTTTTTTATTTTCAATACTGTCAAACAAACGTTGTTTAAAAGCTTGCACATATATTTTTGAAACGTCTTCAATTCCAGTCTCAAAGTTTTTATTAAGATTCTTGTAGAGTAAAGACAGGAGTACTAACATTATTTTTTTCTTTTTTATCCTTTTTAGTACAATGGAACTTGTTCTGATCTTTCTTCCTTTTGTTTTTTGTTTATTGCCATTTGTTTATTCCTATTACCCTTTCTATGATAGGCGTAGGGAAAGGGAAATACAGGAGTTGAAGTGGCAGCTGGATGCAGCCGCCCACGCAATGGACCATGCCCATCGGCCTCTTGTAGTGACCTCTTGTAGTGAGGTGGGTGCAATTGCTGGAATGGATTCAGAATTTGTTTCAATTCCAAAAAGATTCAATTCTTTGTGTTAGGCTTTTCCTGTTTAAGCTGAGTTTTTATATGACATTATGCAATTACATGTACACAGTTTTCTTATACATTTCTTATATTTCATTCTTTGGTAGGGCACCGCGAATATTGGCAGGAGCATTGCTCACGTGATTATGGGACACTGAGGAAGTACTGAGATACTGCAAGTAACCACCTGATGGCCACATGAAAGTCTAGCACCCGGCAAGAACGGAATGTGGCTTTAGCTTTTTAAAGCCTGCATCCTATTGCACGCAGACAGGAGATCTATTACTCATTATCTGAAGCGAAACAAATGTTCAATAGAACGATAGGGCCAACGGTCTGACTAGGCTATTCTACTATGGTAATAGGGACCCTTTCCCATGCAACTGGTTTCAAGTAGGTAGCTTAGGCGTCAGGTCCCCCTCCAAAAAGACAAAGACAAAGGCCATTACGTGTAGCAGATACATTTCTCCGTTTTTCAGCATCATAAAATTCCTTACACAAGTCCTGAATTTCCCTCAGTCACTGATAGGTCGCTGGAGTAATTGCGCACCCTGCAAAGGCAACTGGAAGGTGAACATAGAAAGCAACGCTTATTCGAACAGGCCAGCAAGCCACTGGTCGAAAGAAAGGTAGTTTATCCAGAGATCTTGGAGCTCTGCCGAGAGCTCAAGTGGCAACTCAAAGGTCCGAAGGGCCTGGAACGAGCAAGGTGTGCAATGGACCTCAGTCTTCTTCCAATCTATTGCATCGCTAACCTGGGGCAGGATGAGGAATTTTTCACTCTTCGTATTTTTTCCGGTCAAAGTGCCACGGAATGCCGAGATCAACATTTCACTTGCTTTGGCAAGGACGGTTCTGTTGTCCTGGTATAGTGTGACTATGAGACCCATTATGCCGAGGGGCCCAACTGGACCGACTTGACGTAACTGCCCTTTCTGACGCACTATATAAACTTGTACCGTCAGAAATTCCGCTCTCACCTGCTTATGGGCAACGCGCACAACTTCTTTTCTCACTAAGAGCGGGACTCCATTTTCTGCATGGTCTCATTCCAACTACATATCACCAGTCTTGGAGAAACACTTTTCAGTAAAATTAACTACCAATGACCTTAGGAAATGCATTGTCAATTATTTTCTCTCGCTGCCAGCGAGTGGCGACCAAGCCTTTTACAACTTCCTTCTCTCTTCCTTCTACACAGCCAGAGATGAGGTGCGAGATTAGGTATGCGCTTAAGAAAGCAGGACACGTGTCGTATGTTTATGACACATTACATCTCCTTCTTTCACATCTTACTGTATCAGTAATAAACTTATTTATCCTGTTGCACTCATTCAAGTGCTTCCTTATTCCTTAACTATTCCATTCTTTCTTCCTGCCTTTCCTTTATCTGCTTTTCCTTTTATGAAAAGGCACCTACCACATCAAGACACTGTGTTCCTTGACCCTCTTTACCAAAAATCACCTTTCACTGAAGACAACGACCACGAGGCGTCTGGTAACCAAAGGATCGAGGAAGACGAATTAAGTATCTCGCCCTCGGATGAAGACATAAATGAATTCCTTGAGGTATCGAACACCAAAGAGGCCGATGTCACAGCTAAAACAACTGAGCCCAAAGAAGAAGTCGAGCTAATGAAATCTCTAGAGGCTGCCTTCACTGACGATGAACTTGTTGGCGCCAAAATAAACCAACGCTTGGCTAACGTAGTGTCCAAATGGTGGGGCATTACCCTTCCCAACGACAAACTCAAAGCACTGCTGCCTAAACACGCTAAACCGGAAAATTGTCCCAACATAACCACGGTAAGAGTCAACCCAGAAATTTGGCATCAAATGAATAATTTTAGGCGCAAAGCCGACCTGAGAGTCAGCAACATACAACAAGCCTTACAGAAAGCCACTTTCGAAATTCTAAAAGTATGCGATAAATTAGTGGATCCGCCACCGAGCACAGACAAGGAAACACTGGCCACTAACATCAACGCCAGTGTCCTATTAGGACACCCTGTCGGGGAGCTTTCCCGCTTACAGCGAAAGCAGATTAAAACGGCCCTTTAACCCGAATTTCATTCGCTTAACGTAAATATGTGCACAATGGCCTCTTTATTACAAATGATTGTTGCACGTCAACACTGAAAGCCACAAAAGAAACGGTGCCATAGCCTCCATGATCTTTCGAGTGCCGACTCCGAGTCTGAAGACAACGACCACGAGGCGTCTGGTAAACAAAGGATCGAGGAAGACGTATTAAGTATCTCGCCCTCGGATGAAGACATAAATGAATTCCTTGAGGTATCGAACCCCAAAGAGGCCGAAGTCACAGCTAAAACAACTGAGCCCAAAGAAGGAGTCGAGCTTCTGAAATCTCTAGAGGCTGCCTTCACTGACGATGAACTTGTTGGCACCAAAATAAACCAACGCTTGGCTAACATAGTGTCCAAATGGTGGGGCATTACCCTTCCCAACGACAAACTCAAAGCACTGCTGCCTAAACACGCTAAACCGGAAAATTGTCTCGACATAACCAAGGTAAGAGTCAACCCAGAAATTTGGGATCAAAGGAATAATTTTAGGCGCAAAGCCGACCTGAGAGTCAGCAACGTACAACAAGCCTTACAGAAAGCCCCTTTCGAAATTCTAAAAGTATGCGATAAATTAGTGGATCCGCCATCGAGCACAGACAAGTAAACACTGGCCGCTAACATCAACGCCAGTGTCCTAATAGGACACCCTGTCAGGGAGCTTTCCCGCTTACAGCGAGAGCAGATTAAACCGGCCCTTTAAGCTGTATTTCATTCGCTTTGCTCCCAGGCAAATGAATCGAGCAGTCGCTCTGACCTGCTTTTTGGGGCCGTCCAAGCAAAGCAGGTACATGACGCTAAAGATACTAACAAAATTGTATAAGACATAGTTGTAGGCAAAGCTGGCACGACAAATTTCTCGCGCCCATAAAATTCCCATCATGATAAGCACAGGCCCCAAAAGAACTATGGGAAACACTACTGGCCTGCAGAGAGCAAACCTCCTTTTTTAGGGAAGGGTCAGAAAAAACCCAACTTTTCAAAGCACCGAATTGAGAGGACATGATACAATCTTTGGAAAACATTAAAAAATCGGTAAGTGAATTCCCATCTTTGTTATGTGACCTTAAGGAATATTTGGACAATAGATGCACTCATTTTCGGGCTGGTTGCATAACCGAGTCCATTAGCAACTTGCAGATGATTACCTCTGATAAGGAAATTTTGACGTCTGTCAGAGGGGCTACAATTGAGTTTCACACCCAACCGTATAACACTAAACGCCCACAATCCACTTTCTCTGCCGAAGAAAATGCCATTATTGACAGTGAAGTTGCAAAACTGCTGCATAAAAACATTATTGAAACAACCGATCATACTCCTTATGAGGTGATCTCCAACATCTTCATTAGGCCTAAGAAAGATGGAGGCCACAGACAAATTTTAAACCTCAAGGGACTAAACCAATTTGTCACTTATCACCATTTTAAAATGGAGACACTTCAGTCAATAGTACAATTAGTCAAAAAGAATTGCTGTATGTGCTCGCTAGAGGATGCTTATTATACGGTTGGCGTGAGCCCCTCGCACAGGAAATACCTAAGTTTCATGTGGAAAGATGTTCTGTATCAGTTCACGTGCCTACCCAATGGGTTATCCTCTTGCCTCAGGAAATTCACAAAATTGCTAAAACCGCCGCTTACCGAATTACAGAAACAGGGTCACATATCAGCTAGTTACATTGATGACCTTTACCTCCAAGGGAGAACATACGATCTATGTGTCTCTAACGTGATTGACACTTTTATTCAATTTGATTCCTTGGGGTTTACAATCCATCCAGACAAGTCTGTCTTCATCCCATCCCAACGTCTGGTTCCATTAGGCTTTATTAACGACTTGGTCGCCATGACTATCACACTGATCCCTGAAAAGGCCTTAAAAGTTAAAGAAGCTTGCGGCACTCTTCTGGGACAAGGCCTTCCGAAAATACAACAAGTAGCCTTTGTGATAGGAAAAATTATTTCATCATTCCCTGGGGTCATGTATGGTCAACTTTATTATAGAGTTCTTGAGCATACCAAAACCGTAGCCCTCAAAACCGCCAATGGCGATTTTGACAGTCATATGTCCGTAACTGAAGATTGCAAAAAGGAACTCCAGTGGTGGGTGGACAACAACGCGAGTTCCCATAACGTCATAACCCATTGACAACCCTCAAACACCCTCACCACCGACGCATCTCAGAATGGTTGGGGGGCAGTTCACAATGACACAAGCACCAGGGGGTTTTTGGTCCAACGAGGAAAAATCACATCGAATTAACTACCTTGAATTATTAGCAGTGTTCATGGGCCTACAAACCTTTTGTAAAACACATTACAACAGCCACCTTCGAATCTTGACTGATAACACGACTGCGATGGCAGTCCTGAACCATATGGGGACTAGCGATTCAGATCCTTGCAGCCGCCTAGGAAAAGAAATTTGGGAATGGTGCATCGACCGTAACATATGGCTTAGTGCTGCTCACATCCCCGGGGTTCACAATATCAAGGCTGATTTCGAAGCAAGACGAACCAACGATAACACGGAATGGATGCTTGATAGGGCCTACCTAAACAATGCACCGTCGCAACTAAGTTTGCACCCGAATATAGACCTTTTTGCTTCACAACTAAACAATTTCCTCAATATGTATTGTTTAAGCCTGACCCAGGTGCAGTTGCCGTTGATGCTTTTTCACTAACTTACGTTATCTTTAAATCTACGCTTTTCCTCCATTCAGTGTAATCAACGCATTTCTTCAGCGAGTCCGGAGGACCACGCCTCAGGAATCCTGATCATACCCACTTCACAAAACCCTAATGCTACTAGTATGCCACTCGTCTGGGAGCAACTACAAAAGTTAGGTTTATCCCCTGATACCATAGACATCCTCATGGCCTCTTGGAGAAAATCCACCAGGAAACAGTACGCAACCTACCTCTCTCGATGGGTGACTTATTGTAAAAACAAACAATTGGATGTCACCCATGCCACCATTAACGACGGCCTGGATTTTCTCACTTTACTTTACAAACACAGGGTCGGTTACAGTGCTATCAACACTGCTCGATCTGCCTTGTCCTCGGCTATTACACCAGCGGACAAGAAGACTTTTGGAAAACATCCCCTTGTAACCTGCTTCCTAAAAGGAACCTTTGAACTTAGACCATCTCTGCCCAGATACTCCACTACATGGGACGTTAGCATTGTTCTCACATACCTTCGATCATTTCCGGCCCTTAATGACTTGACATTAAAACAACTTACGCTGAATCTTACAATGTTACTTGCCCTTGCCACCACGCAGCAAACTCAAACACTCTCCAAACTGGACACCTCATGTATGCAGGAAAACACGACCAGAATTACCTTCACTATACGGGACACCTTGAGAACAACTCAACCTGGCAAACACCTTGCGCCCATTCAAATTCGACCATTCACCCCAGACTCCTGTCTTTGCCCGGTAACCTACATCAAACATTACATCACGAAAACGCATTCGCTGATCAGTTACACTGTGGATAGATGGATTAGATCTACGCTCTAGTCACACAGCCACCACCTCTTACAGCGCCAACGCACAACTTCCTCTAGCAGATATTCTCAAGGCTGCGGGCTTGTTGAACGCTCAAACATTCGCTGATCACTATAACAAGCCTATTAGTGGCAACCTCGGTCAAACTCTTTTGACTC